GGGGGGGGGGGGGGGGGGGGGGGGGGGGGGGGGGGGGGGGGGGGGGGGGGGGGGGGGGGGGAAGAGGACGAGATGTATGAAAGGAGGGAAAAGGTTGAAGTGAACAAAATTAGCATAGTCCATTAGTTCGGACAATGTAGAGGTGTAATTATTCAATTAGGAGAAGTCCATTTTGCGGTGCTATATGAGAATATAATATCAGCAGATATGTGACTGGTGTGCGTGCCAGCAATTTTCTGGTCATTGCTCACAGTAATTCATATTCACTGGCCTGTAGCACAGATTGATATGATAATTGCTGTAGCTGGGACACCGAGGTAAGCGGAGCAAGGGGACGCCTGGCACACGAACGCACAGATGTCACCAGTAGCACCAGTAAGGCGCATATGCGCACCACTTTAGCAACAGTCCGTTCACATTTCGTCTTAAATGGGCAAATCTACCCGAAAAATTATTAAATGTAATCTATGTCCGTTGATGTAGGTAGTTGAATTGCGCCAGCTGACAGCTTCACAGCTAGTAACTAATGATAAGGCTGATGAGCGGAGTTAGTATTCTTCAAAACTTTCACCCATACCAGTCTCGGCCCAGTGAGGGGCGGTGCAAATCCTCTGAACCAAAATTTGGCCTCAGTTTACAAGAGACTGATAAATTAAATTTCTTACATTCCTGCTTCTTGAAAAGAGGGCGCATTTGAGTTTTGGCACAGCTGCCCAGAACGATACGCTTGCTTAGTGTGGTTGCAGTTCCGCGCATTGTCCCATCCCTCCACCCTTTTGTCTCATCATTCCTTCCTCTTTTTACTTCTCATTCAAATATACTAAGGTAGACTCCTGTGATAGCTTGTAAAAATACACTAAGATTATGACTTAAAAACAGCTGGGCTTTAGCGTACACCTGTGTCTTCTGTCCGGAAGCGTCAAAAATATATGTAGCAAAAAGCAATTCCACCAATAAGTCAGGTTGGAAGGCAAAAATTTTGCAAAGATATTCTGTGCTAATGTGCGATCTGAATATTTTAAATGCAGCTCTGAATGCACAACCTTCGCGAGCGCGCAAGTGAATATTAAATTTGAGACACTGCTAGGGCCCAGTTAACTTGGTAACTACACTGAATAGTAAGTGTTTTTCTGAGAATGTTTGTTGTTAATGTGCAGGCCACCAAGTGTAAGATTAGCTTTTGCTTAGGCATGTTCCTACACACTGGCGCATCAAATAATCAAGTTGCGACACTGCGGTCACACCCCAATAGTAAAAGCGATTGGAATTATTCAAAACGCGTAATCGCACCGGTAGGCTACCTGGGCTTTTCTTGTAGGTATTTTTGATGCCCCACTGTTGTAGGCGAGGAACTGCTACTCGGACATATTCTCTATTTTCTAATTATACGTGTGTGTTAGCACTGGGAGTCATATCAAGGGGTATAAATTGGTGGAGAGATTGTTTGAGTCTGAGGTGGGAGATATGAGCGAGTGTCAGTTCTTGCCTAAAAAATTTCGGATATATTTCGGATGCTGAATTGGTCATGTTGGTACTGCAGTACTGCAAACAAGTACAAATATGGTTTGAAAATGTGATGGCTTGTAGTTAATCGAAAATGACAATTTCGTTGTCGCCTCCATCTCCGCACTCTTTTTTATCAAATTTAGCTGAAAATTTTGCTTGAGGTTGTACCTCTTTTTGGGAGAATTCATGCCTTTTGAAACTTGGCTTCCTGAAGATAGTCTAAATAGATGAGAGGGAAAGGGACAAGTCACCTTTAGCCGGCTCTATTCGAACGATGACTGATGGATGGCTTTTCCCTTCCATTTTTCCTTTGCTTTGAAGATTACTGTGGCTTAAAAGCTTCATGTTTTTGGGCCTTACTTCCATCTAATCTTGCTCCCAACCAAGTCTTTTAATCTCTTTTGATATTTGTTTCCTCAAATGCTCTATAATTTCATCGAATCTGCCGTGCTGTTGCTACTACGCCTACGCTTACCGTAATCCATGTCAGTCAGTGTGTGTATGATCCGACACCAATAGTGCCTTCCCTCCTCCCCCTCTTCTTCGCCCTCCCTTCTTTCTTTGTTTATTCTTCGATTAATAGATTACGTTTTATCCTTTTTATACAGTTGTATTATCACGAGTTTTCGAGTTCAAATATCCAGTAATTGATTAATTCGTGGAAAAAAGTGAAATTAGTTAGAACTCTGTTGTCTGCCGGTGCCACTTTTCAGCACTACATTTTGCAGAGCTTGCTATACTGCGACAATCTACACGGGCGATGGCACTTCCACGAAATCCGCGCCATCTTCCTTCGTCGCTATCTGCTCAAGAATACTGCGCTGGAGCTGTTTCTGTCTTCAAGAAGTAAGTAAAAGCTTGAAAGTACTACATGACATTTTTGGGGCACATTTTGAGAAATGTAATATTTCTCCGAGATTCATGGAAGGCACCGATGGGCATCAAGGAGGAGGGCTTTGATGCCTTCCTCCCCTGAATCCGTCACTCAGTTCCGCCAATCAGTTTCGTGGTTTGTTGCCAACTTTCTGAAACCGATCACAGCAGTTTAAACTAAATCCAACAAACTGCATTTATGCGCATTTTGCAGCAGCAATAATGTTCGCATTTGCGGACGAAGACACCGTACGAAAAGTGGTGGATTATTTGCCTCGTGTTGGTGTCGGTGTGAAGTATGGCTTGCCACAAAGTCGAAAAACCAGCCTGATGACACCGCGACAGCTTTTCAAGCATTCTGATATGCCGCAAAAATGGCAGAGACGAGAAATATCGAATTTTGATTACCTAATGTTTCTGAACACCGTTGCCGGCCGGACCTACAATGATTTCAATCAGTACCCAATCTTTCCATGGGTTCTGGCCAATTACACGTCACCCACGTTGGATCTTAATATTGCAACAAACTTCCGCGATCTATCAAAGGCATTTTTCCCGTTTTCTTCCTCATTTTTTGTCAGCCAAATAGGGAAGCATCTCTGGAGGGGTTCAGGGAATAAATGTGCTACGGAGTGCTTGCGTGATTGTTGATTGATGGCCATACCCGCTATGCTGCGCTGCTGTTTTACTCGGCCACATGCTGTTATCGGGGTTGCGTGCTTCCCAGTTTTGAAGTGAAAGATAAGTTCATGATTGTTATAGATTTCGCCATCAAACCAATTTGGTGTGCTTATTGATGTTCGTACCAGTCACATTCGCCTAACTTTAAGCATTGTTTCAGCCGATTGGAGCGTTAAGTGAGAATCGGCGCAAGTTCTTCCAGGATCGCTACAACTCATGGGAGCATGAAACTGTACCGCCTTTTCATTACGGAACACATTACTCAACGCAAGCATTCACACTTAACTGGCTACTTCGAATTGTATGCCTATTTTTAAGATGTTTTAACGTTTCTTTAATTATGCCGGTGGGTTTACCTGTCTTTTGCTTCATTTTTCCACTCGTCGAGTTGTTACATCTTTGCACAGCAGTCCTAGAGGGGATTTTTTTGTGATAACCCTACTGAAGGGAATTTTGTGATTTTTTTGTGATAACCTTTTCGACTTTAGTCCAGTTTTCAACTCCTTTTTTCTGGATGGATTTCATCACTGGATGTTGCTAATTTATTGTGCCCCAAGTTGTTCCTTCGAACTTTTGTTGAGCTGTCCTGTTTTTTACAGCACTGTCGTCACAGCAAATCTTTTATACTTTTTTGGTATCGCTATGCTTGGGATTTCTGCATATGTTACGCAGATTTTCAGGAACCATTTACGACAATATTCCTGCACATGCAAAGTGGTAAATTTGACCATTCAAATCGTTTATTTCATAGCATTGCCGAAGCATGGGATAGTTGTCAGCGCGATTCACACGACGTTAAAGTGAGTGGACGTTACCTTTACATATTAGAAAATACCTGAAAAATTTGGAAAGGTTATGGAAACTGTTCGGATTATACTTTGTTGAAGAGCTTCGTTCTGTTGAATAAGCCAAGTGCACCTGATCACAGCGGTCTTGCATAGCCGTCGAAATTGCTGCAGAGCAGAAGAAGCATGCGAAGAAGCGATAAAAGCGGAGGTTCTGCATGCGCATCAAGGAGAAGCTAAAGAAAGACTTTAGCCATCGACAGAACACAGCACGATCTAATAGAGTCTGAAAAAGTGCACAGAAGATTTATATCTCCGTTATTTTGGGTATAATGAGCAAAAATACTCATTTTTCTACTTACAGGAGTTAATCCCGGAGTTGTATTACATGCCGGAGATGTTGCTGAACACGAACAAATTCGACTTGGGCAAAAGAGATGACGGTTCAGCCGTCGGGGATGTTGTTTTACCGCCATGGGCTAAAAGTGCTGAACACTTCATTGCTTTACACCGGCAAGCACTGGAATCTGATCTTGTCTCATGTCAGTTAAATCAGTGGATCGATCTCATATTTGGCTATAAACAAAAAGGACCTGAAGCGGTTAGTGTGTTACTCATTGTTTTTGTGTGTGTGTGTGTGTGTGTGTGTGCGCGCGTATGTGTGTACATTTGTGTGTGTGTGTGTGTGTGTGTGTGTGTGTGTGTGTGTGTG